CAGTTCATGAAGTTATTCCTAGAGCTATTCACATCGACAGCGTTCATGCTTCTTCATCTCTTCGTCACAGTATGTTTCTTCTTCCAAATTTGGTTCAGTAAAAAATAATGACTCCACAAAGGGATCCTAATGTTGCCACCAGATCCGTGAGGTTCGAATGGTTTCGTTGAGGTCAAAAACAAATGTTATAGAGAAGGTTCTCAATTTTAGAATTCTTAGTTGTGTGACCACAACATGTGGAGGAATGAAAGGTAGTGAGGTGATACTTCAATGGAGATATTGCACCGTGGAGGAAGAAGAGCGGCAGAGAAGAAGGTATCTATATAGAACATATTCCAATTTCATGGTGATTTTGCTTCGGGAATATATCAAAATTGAAGAGGCTCGATCTCATGGTAGAAAGGGGGAAGACGAAGAAAGGAAAACAGTTTTTAAGCCCACGAGAGGTAAAATTAGCTGCCCTAATTTGCAAATCTCAATTAATACTGTATTTCATTTTATATTAAACTCTTCGATCCTCAACATTTGGTAATTAGCTATGGTTTTTAGGTGCATCTGAGTTATAGAATTATAAAGATGTTTGTAATCTATTTCAGTTTCTGCAGTTGTGTATTCTGTTTTTCGTGGTAATAACACTCTAACTTACAAATGTTTTACATTTAAGTATGAAGTTAACGATTTAGGTGTGGGTGTTAGGTCCCCTTTCCTTCTTCTTCCTCCCAAGGCCATGAATTGTCCAATGGATAATTGTAAGATATTTATTTATTCTCTTCCAATCTCAAATGCTATATTATTCCCCTTCACCCAATCATGATCGTTATGAAAATGAAAGCTTTCGCTCACTGATTTATTTTGATTTTCCAAACTCGGAGGAAGATATATGAAATAGTGCATATTTAGAGAGAAAAGTGAAGACAAAGTTAACAAATGATGATAAAAGAGTGCATATTTAGAAGATGAAGATGTTGCAGAATATATACAAAAAAGTTTCAGTAAGAGGGAAGGGCAACTACGAATGGCAATTGGAACACAACATTTGTTATGCCTAGCTATATATAAATGTTGCAAGGTAGAGATTTAAATTTATAAAATAATTAAATTTGACCCAATGGGAAAAGAAA